GTTAAAATGATAATAGTTTCCATTTGTTTAGCACTTTAAAGTGTTCAAAATACATAAATTTGATCTTATTTGGTCTTCACAAAAACTTGGTGAGATAGGTGATATAATTCTCCTCCTTTTATAGATGAAGAAACAACACAGAGAAGTTAAGTGACTAGGGTCACACAGATATTAAAACATATGACTGGGGATATAAACCCAGTTCTTCCTGGTTCCAGGTCCAATGCTTTATCTACTAAGCCCCTGGGACACTCCTAAATTAAGATTTATGATGCAAAACCTTAGCTGTGCCTTCACTGTTATTTTGCAAATCTTCCTCTCTATATTTCTGGATTCCCTATCTCATTCACAGTTATTTTTTCCCATTTTTTTCCTTTTTTTCCCCTTTCATTCTCAAACACCCATTATGCTACACCCTTACTGGAGATGAATTAACCTGCTGCTTCAGTGGGAAGACTGATACCAGCCTGAGTTGAACTCTCTCAGTCCCCCTCTCTAATTACTCAAAATTTCTTAAATCATCACCTGTTCACTCCTCTTCTTCCGAGAGCAGAAGAATCACCCATATTTGTCAATGGTATGATGGAGTGTAAATTAGGGAATCAATAAGTATCTACCACAAATAAGCTCAGATCTTAAACTTGTAAACTGCAAATATGACCACTGAGAGTCAGAACTGGATGCATCTATGCATCTTTATATTTTATTGTCTTTGAAACTTGCCCCTTATTTTATGTAATTTTATCATGGAGAATAAGGGACTGACTAATCTAGTTTCCCAAGGACAATTTATCAAAGAGTGAAAGCCTAGTACTTGTACCCTTTTTTTTTTGTGAGGCAATGGGGGTTAAGTGACTTGCCCGGGGTCATACAGCTAATAAGTGTCATGTATCTGAGGTCAGATTTGAACTCTGGTCCTCCTGAGTCCAGGGCTGGTGCTCTATCCACTGCTCCTACCCATACCCTTTAATCCCTTTTCCTCCTACTGTATGCTCTTGTTTCAGAACGTGTCTCTTCCTGTTCTTGTGCTTTCTTTTTTAAATAAGTTTTTATTGATGCCTTCTTGAAAAACATCATAGTTTTCTCTGGTACCTCTCCTCCCCAGAAATCCATTTCATATAATAAAAGGGTATTTTTAAATCTAAGAAGAAAACCAAAAGGAACAGAGGAAATTAACATAAATGATCAATATATAAAAAAAAATAGGAAAATACAAGCAGTGCACAACTCTTGTGGAGCTTCCACCTCCACAAAGAAGTATATTAGGAATGTGCTCTCCTATCTACTCATTTAAGTGCTTCAGGATTTTTATAATTTTGTTACGAGGACTCAATATTGTGTGTGTTTGTGTGTGTATGTGTATGGGGGGTATTGCTGTTTCCATTGACATTATTGCAGTTATCTTATATGTTTTTCTAGGCTCTCCTCATTTCACCCTATATCAATTAATGTATATTTTTTCCATGCTTCTCTGAATGCATCAGACTTGTTGTTTCTCAAATCACAGTAGTATTCCATTACATTCATGTTGCTCAATTTGTTTTGTCATTCTCCAATCAATAGACAATTGATGCATAGTGGATAGAATGCCAGGCCTGGAGTCAGGAAGACCCATCTTCCTGAGTTCAAATCTGGCCTCAGATACTCCCCAGCTGTGTGATCCTGGGTAAATCACTTAAGCTTGTTTGCCTCAGTTTCCTATTCTGTAAATGAGACAGAGAAGGATATGGCAAACCACTCCAGTATCTATTTGGTAATGGTTGTTGGTATTACATGTATGTGTGTATACACACACAAATACTTACATGGATCTTTGTGTTATTTATATATTTTGAGTAGCAAACCCTTATTGGAGAAAATTGATAGAAATAATTTTTCCCTCTCATTTAGTCTCTTATTTCTTCCTGTTACTCTAGGCATAGAATATTTTCAGTCTCCTGCAATCAAAGTAACTTATCTTTTGTAACTTTCTCTATCCCTTGTCATAATCTCTTGTAATAATACACTTCCTACTCTTAGCTGTGAGTGATATATGTGATATGCATCTCTTCTAATTTTTTTTTAATTCCATGATCCTTAATATTAATTTCATGCTTCTGTTTAGAATGTACTGTGGAGCATGATGTGAAGTGTTTGTTTAATACTAATTTCAGCCAGACAGCCTTCTAATTTCCCTAGAAGTTTTTAATCATATAGTGAATTCTTTCCCAAGTCATTTATATTTTCCACCTTATCAAACACTGGGTTATTAAGTTCTCTTTTTTCTGATTTTCCTTTGTTTAGTCTTCTCTATTGATCAACTTCTCCATTCTTTAACTGATACCAGATGGTTTTCATGACTGCTGCTCCACAATAGTTTTTGAAGTCTGCAAATGCTGTTCTCTCTTCATCTCTCTCTCTTTGTATCACTTCCCTTCATATTCTATATCTTTTTCTAAATGAATTTTATCAAGTTCTTGGCAATAGACTTTGATTAATTTGATTGGTATTTTGGTTGTTACAACATTAAAAGTATAAATTAACTTTGGAGATATTGTCATTTTTATTATGGTGGCATGGTCTAACAATGAGCACTGAATATTACTCCAACCACTTTGGTTGTTGTTATTGTTGTTTACCTTTCTTAAGTAGCATTTTGTATTAATTTATATAAGGCTTTTGTGTGCTTTAATAGAGTGAATCTCAACTACTTCATGCAAAATACAGTTTTTTGAAATAGAATTTCTCTATTATTGACTCTTGGATATTGTTATCATTGTATAGAAAGGTTTTTGATATTTCAAAGTTTATTTTTTAGCTGGTAACTTTAATAAAGCTATTGTCTTGATTACTGTATTTTCTAATTCTTTCTGTTTTAGAATTTTCCAAGTATACTGTCATATCAGGAAACAGGGACAATTTTTTAAAATCTCTTCTTTACCTATCTTTATCCCTTTAATTTGTTTTGTCTTATTACTGTTGCTAGCATTTCCAAAATTATATCTAATAATAATGGATAGAGTAGACATATTTGTTTTATTCCCGTATTTATTGAAAAAAGCTCCCAGTATATATCCATTGCATATGATTATTGCTTTTGGCTTCAAATAGATTAATTTTATGATATTAAAAAAATGTCCTTCTCTACCTATAATTTGAAAGGCATTTTAGCCTAATTGAGTATTTTACTTTGCCCATCTTTTTTTCCCTGAATCTTTTGAGATAATTGTGTAGTTTTTATTTTAATAGTATCAATTATACTGATTATTGTCCTAATATTTATCTATCCTTGAATCACTGATATAAACTCAGCTTGGTCATGATGAATGATTTATTGAATAAATTTCTCTTTTCTGACAGGATCTTGTTTCAAATTTTTGAATAGATACTCATTAATAATATTGGTCTAAAGGTTTCCTTCTGTGTTTTATCCTTCTCCAGTTTAGGGGCTGACACACACGAGGTCTAGTGACAAGAAAGATTGTCTGAAATGATATGTTTCTCTCATAAAACAGATTCTGGTAAGATTTTTTTTTAATAATAGGTAAACTAATCATTTTTAAAAGACCGTAATAGACATATCTTGTCAAGCTATCCGGACAATTTCTTCTTCTTTTTTTTTTTTTTGGTTGTTATTGTTAGCTCCTTTAGTGTTTTGTTTTGCTTTATTTTCCTAGTTAATATATATTTAGTTCTATTTCCTTTTCTGAGATTGGATTATTTAAGATCTCTTACTGGTCTTCTGTGGATATTTTATATTTTTAATGTATTCTATTTCTTTTGTGTTCAGAGATTTGTTAGCATACAACTATTTATTTTGATTTTATGGTGATCTCAACTCATTTACTTGCTATTTTGTTGATTTTTTTCCTGCACTCTTTTTAATCAGATTAGTAAAAGGTTTATATATTTAATTAATCTTTTCAAAGAATCAGATTTGAGTTTTATTTATCATTTCCATGGCTTTTTGTTCCCATTTTTATCTATTTCTTTTCTAATTTTAAATCTCATTTTGTACTTATTTTATATTTGTTTATTTGTTGGTTTTCTTATTTCTTAAATGCACATTTGGTTCATTAATCCTCTCTTTTTCTATTTTGTCCATAGGTATATGATGTTCCCCTTGAGGACTACTTTTGCTATAGCACAGAAATATTGGTATACTCTTTCATCATTATCAATATCTTTCATATAATTCTTAAATATTTATATGATTTGTTCTTTGATATAATTATTATTTAAGATTTTGCTGTTAAGAAATACATTTAAAGACAAAAGGACAAAAGATAAAAATTTATAATGAATCAAAAAAAACTTTCAAAAAATAAAAAAAAGATAAAAGGCTCTACTTATTCTTGTTATGATTCCTTGCCTATTATTTTATTGTGGTTTGGTTTGTAAAAGTTGTATTTATATTTTCTGCCTTTCAACATTTGTTTGCAATGTTTCTATGCCTTAATAAATTGTAAATGTTTTATTTGTTGCTGAGAAATATGCATAATCTTTTATAGTCCAATTTAGATGTCATAAGTTATCTAGCTTTAGTTTACCTAGCATTTTTCCAGTTACATATTTACCCATTTCTTTATGTTTCTAATAAACTTATCCACAATTGAGAGAGAGGCTTTGAAATATCCTGTAACTATTGTATCTCTCTATCTATACATTTTTCCTTTGGCTTGGTTAGTATATGCTTGATGAATTTGGATGCTACGGCATCTGGAGCATATTTCTTTAACATTGATAATGATTTATTCTTGAGTATTCATTTCAGCATAATATAGTTTCCTTTTTGATCACTTCTTCTGGACACTTTCTTGTTTCTTTGTTTGTTTTTCTCTCTTATAAGGTACCACCAGTAATTTGAAACCATACATAAATATAAAAGACATATAATATTATATTGCCCTTGTGAAGCCTTATGTCCCACTACTCTACTCTCACATTTTGTTCAAAGTTCTCCAGTGAGCAGATCTTTTGCTGTTTTTTTTTCAGGCCTTATCTTCTGATCTTTATGAAGCTTTTGATATTTTTCCCAGTCCTCATGCTGGATGTTTTCTTCTCTCATGACTTCAGAGGCAAGACAATGCCCTAGTTTCTCCTTCTAAATCCCCAAATACTCCTTTTTCTGTCTCTTTCATTAGCTCTTCATTCTCTTTCCAACCCTTCATTGTAGGTTTTTCTTGAGAGTCGCTGCATGGGAATATAGGGAAAAGGGGAAGGAATAAGCATTTATAACGTGCTTAGTAGATGTCAGTCACTGCGATAAGCACTTTTTACAAATATTATCTCATTTTATAATGGCATTCTTATCTTGTCTCTCTTTTTCTTCCACCCTGTGACATCTCATTCAGTTCCAAAATCTCAACCACCACTTCTATTTAGATATCTCAGATATATTCTTCTCATCCTGAAACCTTTGAATCTTCAGATATGTATTTGCAACTTCCTAAAAGACATCTTTACTTGAATTTACCACTAGCATTGAAACCTAGTATATCCCTAAACATGCTCATTATATTTCCTTCCCCTTAAACTTGCCAGTCTTTCTGATCACCAATGTTAGGTGAAGAAACCTCTGTTTCCCTTATTTGTATCCTTAGGGACATCTTTTACTTTTTTATTTCCAATCAAGTACCAAGCTTACCTATTCTGTCTCTGTATTTCCACAGCTACCACCTTAGTACAAACCCACATTATCACTCACCTAGTCTAATATAACATACTCCTTACTGGTACTTCTGCTTCCACTGTGATACCCTTTAATTTCATTTTTTTTTCTACCACCAGGATAATTTTTCTTATGCATATATTAGTAATATATAGTATATTAGTATAGTACATATTAATGTTCCTCTATTTAAAAAGCATTAGTTGTTCCGTATTATACACGAAATAAAGTTCAAAATTTATGCCTGGTATTCCATGTTCATATCAATCTGGGGACTTTCCTTTTATAATTATTTACCATATCACTCTAATGCTGTCTCATAGTACTGTTTTTCACACTGTATGCTTTAGCAAACTGGATTGTCTTCTGACAGACATGTGCTACTCATGTGCTGCTTTTATGCCTAGAATGCTCTGTCTTTGTCTCTAACTCTGCTTCTGTCTCTCTTTATTTCTGTCTCTAATTCTCTCTCTGATACTCTGTCTTTCTCTTATTACTATGCATGCATTTAATTACCACTGATTTTTTTAAAGCACAATTCAAATGCCACATTTTCCATGAAATTTATTTGTCACTGTGGTAGATAATGCCTTTCCTTGAGTTTCACAGAACAATTTAAAAAATAACTTTCTAATACTTTTCTTCTTGAATTGTTGCATATTACAGATATGTATATTTTAAAGTTGTTTTTATGCTAGACTATAATCTAAAGTTTATATGTCCTTTAATGCATAGTGAATGAAGTATTTTACATAAAATATTTAGTGTTTGCTGAATGAATGAGTGAATTCTGTGTTGTTATGCAGAACAGATTTAAGACATGTAAGAGTTATAGGAAAATAGATTTAGGGTCAACATAAGGTAGACTTTTCTACACATTTGAGCTGTTCAAAAATAGAACAGTCTGTGTTGAAAACAGAAAGCTATTTAACAGAGAGACCTAATGAGCATCTCTTGTGTTTTGAAAGAGATTTCTGCACTGCAGAGAGGTTGGAGAGTAGATTAAATTTCTAAAGTTCCTTTTTATTTAAGATTTTTTCATTCTATTTAAAAAGCCTATCTAAAGCAGAATAAAAGCACTGGATTTCTCTAAGAGAAATTCACTGACATAAGATATAGAAAACTGAATGTTTAAGTCAATCTTTGGAAAAATAACTGACATTATTCATCTAAATTGGAAACAAGGACAAGGAAATGAAACTGACTGTCCACAGTAAGTCTAAAGTATACAACATCATAAAACTCATTGCCTGAAGTATTGTAAAGAATATTTACCTTCTACTCAGAATATCTGGTTTCAAGATTCATATCTTATCATTACTGGCTATGTAATCCTGAATAAATTAAATAATCCCTCTAAACCTCAGTTTGCATGTAAAATGAGTGTGATATTATTTCTACTAGCCGTCCACTCTTGGAAAAAAAGTGGATGAAAGGCACATATTGATAAAGTTACTATATGAATTTTGGATAGATAGACCATTAGTTTATGAATGCATAAATCATAAAAAGTTACCACATGTAGATGAATAATGAATTAAATTTCATAAGTGGAAGACATTGGGTTGCAAGTCAGTTGGTACTTTGCATCATATTAATTAATTAACCCAATTAGCCAAAGTTCATGTTTTAATACTATTATTCTCCTAATGGGGTTACATTTTTGAAAATCATGGAATAACACAATCTCAGAAGAACCAAAATTGCACGTGAAACAAATGGCAGAAAAAGAGAAATGGTGGATGTAAATAAATTTCAGCATATTGCCCCTGAGAATTTTTGTGAGAAACCACTTAAAAGTAAAAATTGAGAACATACATACACAAAATAAATGTGGGGCACTTATGAGAGAGAAAGAAAATAGGGCAGTTAGAATTTTATTCTGGTATCCAAAAAATACTGTAAGAAACAAATGATCTGCATTGCAATGGGTAGCTTTTCATGGAGTATATATGAAATAATATTGAAAAGAATTGCAGGCAACAAAATGTTGAAGGATTGGATTTTTTATCAATGGAGAAAGTAACCATACCTATGAAATTACCAATCTCTGCTATTGTACATATGTGATACCCAGAGCTTTCTTATTTGATGAGTTTGGTAACTGCCTCACAATTTTTCTTTCCTCCCAGCTCCTGCACTCATACATAATAGAAGACTTCAACATACATTTTTACTTCTCCTCAAACTTCCTAACCTCTCAGTTCCTCAATCTACTCAGTTCTTATGAGCTACTTCTATACCCCACATCAGCCATACACAAAGATAGTTGTACCAATTATTTTGCCAGCACAGACAAACATACCACCTCCATGTTCAAGAATTGTATGCCTTTAAGCACCTATAACATATTGGTTTTTCACTTCTCCCTCCATTTCCTTTACAAAATTCTACTCTTCATATATACCATGACTTCCAATTCTTTAACCTCTCATTTCTCACTGGCCAACTCCCAGCACTAACTGCTTTCTCTTTTCCCTATTTTGACTTCTTGGTGACACATTTAAACTCCATGGTGTCTTCCTTTCTTGAATTGCTAGCCCTCTTATCATATAAACAATTGCACCTGGATAAGCCTCAGTCTTAGATAGTCTCACCATTTGCTTCCTTTATTCCTATGTGTGTGCTGCTGAACAAAGTGGAAGAAAATCACACAACTCCTCTGACTGAGTCCACTATAAATGCATATTATATAACCTCATTTAGTCTCTCACAGCTATTAGGCAATCTTTATATAGCTCCCTTATGAAGGTACTATCCCATTTTCCATAGTGGCTCTTCAAAACCTTTTCGCCCCTCCTCAAATCTCCCATGGTGCCCCCTCACCACTTCCTCTCAGCTGAGAACCTTGCCTCATATTTTATAGGAAGAAAATTGAGGGCATTCACTGTGAGTTCTCTTATCTCCCCTACTCTTCATCTCATATTACTTAGATGCCTTCTCTCATGAACCCTTATTTCACTTAATTAAGTGGTCTTACTCCTTTCTAAGATTAATCCCTCTGATTGTTAAAGTGACCCCATTCTATCCCATCTCCTCCAACAGTTTTCCTACTCTATCATTTATTTTTATATATTTTATATATTTATTTTATATATTTTTTATATATTTTTATATATCATTCTCACTCTATCATTTATTTTTAATCTGTTCCTATATACTGGATCATTTCCTATTGTCTACAAAAATTCCTACGTCTTTCTCAGAATCACCCCCCCATAAAAAAAAAAAAAACCTCTGCTTGATACTTCCATCCTTGCTGTCATCCTATATTTCTTCTGTCCTTCATAGCTAAGCTCCTCAAAAAGACTGCCTATAATAAGTACTTCCACTTGCTCTTCCCTTCCTTCCTTCCTTCCTTCCTTTCTTCCTTCCTTCCTTCCTTCCTTCCTGGCTTCTTTCCTCTCTTCCCTCCCTTTCTCCCTCCCCTCTCTCTGTTCATATGGGGAATCATACATTTATATGTGGGTGCTCTGCCTTAAGGAACATAAATTTTGATTGCTAAAGCCTTGCAAGATATTTTTGCATTTTGGGGTAAGATTTTTTATTTTATTTTTTCTTCTTTTCCCTACTTATTTATTATATCATTAAAAAATGTGACAATTAGCTATTTTGTCTTGTGTTTCATTTGTGATTTCTTGAAATTGAGCTATGGAAACCAGGCTTTGATAAAGCCCTTTTAAATTCAAATAGAGCTATATGACCATGCCTTAAACCTAAAACACTTTGGCTCTTAGTGACTGGCCAATGACAGGTCCCAGCCCAAGCCTCATTTGCTCATTGCTTGGCTTTTGATGGCTCAGATTTAGTGTGCATAGCAATTGTTTCTGTTCTGCCCAGAAACCATGAGGTTCTTCCCCTCTCTGTTTGGCTTTTTTTTTTTTCTGAATAGGCAAACTAAGCCATATTTTGCCTCATTTCTTACCTAGCCTTGAATCACGGAATGGATGTTGCCTCAGACAAACTGAGACCTGGGAAAGACCTTCCTTAAAAAAGGCCAAGATCTCTTACTGCATCTGGGATCATCTCCAGCATTCCTGACCTATGTATTGCAACTGTACTCAGATGACCCTGAAGAAAAGAATAAGGCTGATGGCTTTGTACTACCCTGCCTCACTTAAATTCAGTTCACTTGCAAGTTGAGACTTCACCTTTCTGATGTCATTAGTCTTCTTTGAGAACAAAGTGCAAACAACAACAAATCCCCATCTTTTACAGGATGATTTTCCCAGTCTATTTTAAGCCTAATTCCTTCCCTCTGTATAAAGTAAACTAGTTATCTAGAATCAGGAGGAAACTTAGAGGTCATTTAGTCCAACCCCTTCATCTTATAATCAATCAATCAATAAACATTTATTAAATGCCTACTATGTGCCAGGCACTGTGCTAAGCACTGGGGCTATAAAAAGAGGCAAAATATAGTCCTTACCTTCAAGAAGCTTACAATCTAATGGGGGAGACAACAAGCAAACAAATATATAGAAAACAAATTATGTACACTATAAATAGGAAATAACTAACA